GCCTGCCCCTTCCTTGCTCGTTCTTTACCCTCAGCTCTGTATTTGTGTTGTGGAGGTGGAGGGGGCAGTGTTATTTGTTTGTTTTAAATCTAGATTAATGCCGTCGTTTTAATACAAACATGAACCTGTCTTCAGAAGTTGACATCACTGAGGAATCAGCCAATTGGTTGACGTTTAACCAACCTTCTTTTTACACATAAACCCCATCAAAGAATTGTTTACACTAATGTTCTTTTGAAATGCAAATCCAGAATGCCAACAGACTGAAACTCAATTTAGATTAATGTAATTACCTGCAATACACAAATGAGGCTATACTATTTAATAGCCTTCACTTAAACCTTTTTAGAAGATCAAAAAGACTCCTATTGTTGAAGTTTAGTACTACAACAATTAAAAGATGCCTCTCTGTAATTTTCGTGTTACCTTTATAACTTTGCAGAAGCTTGTGGTTTTGCTTTGGTACTCTGAAATAAAAATTTCTGAAATAATTGCAATTCACATTGAAAAAGAACAGCAACTTTGTGACGTATTAGGTCCATATCTCATAGTGAGGGTTTTTTTGCTGCTTTCTTCTTAGCACTTCAGAAAAATAATTGTCTGTCCTCTTGTTTTAGGCTTTAAAGAAATGAATGCTCCAACCATTACCCCACCTCTCAATCAGCCCAAAAGATCAAAAAAACGCCATGCAAATTTAACGTTGGATAAAATGATGGAAAAATTCCTGCAGCAGAGTGTGGATACAGAAGAGAAATTTTACAGATATGAAGAGCAGAGGCTCAAAATTGAGGACAAGCGTCGGGAAGCTGAGCATGCTCGAGAGCTCCAGATGTTACAGATGTTGGGACAGATGTTGGCTGGAATTTCTTCTACGGTATCACAAAGGTCACAATCTATACCAGCGAGTCCACCTCAGAGAGCGAACCATCGTTCATATGGGGATAACTTTAATTATAATGCTATGACAGCAGCACTTTCTCCACCGATAGGTACTTCCTTCTATAGCATAAACAAAAGCTTGTTTTTTTTAAACTTCTGTGTGAAAGCACTGGTAGTAAGTAGCTTTTGACAATAAAAGCTAGTTGGAATTATTAAATACCGTGGTGCAGGTGTCTGTCTGATGTAAAATGAAATGAAAACATCATTCGTACCATTGTACTGATTATTTAATACAGATACATTAGTTATAACAAATTTCAATGAGCAAAATGACACTTTTCAAACCCTATAAACATTGGGGACTTCTTTCCACGTTCACGTCTGTAAAGTGGAGTTAGGAGAAGTTTTATATGTAAAAGGCAAGTAGCGCATGTGCTGAAAGCTGTCTGGAAACACTGGGTACCTTGTAGCGGAAATTCTGCTGCTCTTGAAGTTAACAGACCTAGCCCAGTATGCGAAGTTAAGGCTGTGCATATGTTTTTTCAAGGCTGGGAAAAGAGTGGAGTTTTGCCTACACTGAAGTGACTTGAATGTTAAAATCCAGCTTCTTTAAAATAAATTCCTTTAAATCAAAATTCTGAATCTTATCTCTTAATTAAACATCATATTACTGTAGTAGGCATAATAGAGGTTGGAAATATTGACATATATTTTTATTCTATACCAGTTCATTTATAAATTCTTTGGGGGATCTGAATTTATTTTAAAGAAAAAGGCAAAGCAATAGCTCTAGAATTGGTGTTTATGCACAGACTTTTCCTTCCGTACCGTATGTGTGGGCCAGAAGCTAATAATCGGATATTAGCATTCATTAACAGACTTCTTGGGATCTGTGGCTCCGTGTCATTTATCTTTATCTTAGTCTCTTTGTACGTGGAGGTAGATTGTGTGGGTAGGAGGAAAACAGGGATACTCTTGTCAGTGCAGAAACCAGAGTCATTTCAGGGCTCAGTGGTTATAGGCTGCCGCGTGGAAACGACACAAGTCTCATTCTGTTTTAATTCTGAATTTCACACTGCTCGGAAGGAAAAAAGCATGGCTTGAAAAGGGGGAAAAAAACCCTCTACCCAGCCTCAGTGTTGAATAATAATCCTGCATGCCAGATCCTAAAGGGCATTCTCTGATTCCTGAGAGAATCTTGGAGCCTTTTCAGTTCTGTGTTACATACTGCCTTTCCCTGTAAAATGCATGGGGATGGTTAGGCCTGTTGAGGGTTTAGGCTGGCTGACTTGGTTGTGTTTCTTCTTGACTGGACAGTTGATCTGTAGCATTCCTTGATGGCAGCAAACTTTTGTAGATAAATTACAGTGTACGTATGGATTCTGTGTTTTAAATGTTGTTTTCACTTTTAAATTACAGGGAAGCCTGCAGTGCTTTAGAAAATCTCTTAGGAAGTCATGTGAGGTTCTAGGCTGGGGTGATGGTACCTACAAGGCCTTACCATTACTTCTGAAAGGTTTTCCGCTGAAAGGGTTTCATTGTAAAGACTTGAAACTGAAGTTCAGTTTTGCTTGCTGGATTTCGTCATGTAGGTGTACGATCATATTACGCTGTGCAGAAATGCTTTATATATATTTAACTGTAGCAAGAGCAACTTGGGATTCTGACCTTTTAATTGGTGAAGGTATAACAAAGCATTTGTAATAAAATGTGAAAATAATGCTTCAGGCAGCACATCTTTTAAGGAATTCAGATTTCAGTTGTTGATAGCTAAATACGCCTTAGTGTTTCTGTAGGGAAGTGGGGCTCTATTAAGAATTGCTTTTTGCGTAATTCTCTGTTTTCTCCCCATTTATTATGCAATCACTTTACATATAAACAAAAAACAGCAACAAAGAAACAGAGGACCTTCTTAACAACATTGCATGTTAAGGGTTACAAGCTATACGATAAGTATATTTCATGTGTGGTTGAAAACCAGTGAGTGTATGAAGTGTGATCTGAAGAAAATAAGCTGCCCTATTTCCAGAGGAGATGAGTGTTTTGTTCTCTGGGTCACTGCAATGCTATTTTGGCCATAATCCAAAACAGGGTGTTTTTTTCTTTTTCTTTTTTTTTTTAAATCTCAATAGGAATGGGATGCCTGTATTATAGAAGGATTTTGAAAGCAAAAGATCAGCCAGGAGTATTTATCATTATTGAACACTAAAGCATTTTATTACTGAAGATTAGCGTGTCTGGTTTAGGTTTAGATTCCGTGGAAGACAGAGAAAAAGATGCTTTCCGCTGATAATGCACAGATGCAGAGCTCCCCCCTGCTAGATTTTGGAATTGGGGGGTGGGATTGCTAAGTTTTATACAGCTGAAAATAAGGAGTATTGTGGGAGTTATTTTTTTACGTGATTATGTATTATTATATAGCAGTTCCTTGAAAGCTTTTTTTAGAAGATCTGTAAAAAAGAAAGTAAGCACAGCTATAGTCTAGGAGAATGATATTAATGTTCAAATAAACTGCTCTTCTGAACAGAACTGTACAGTTAATGAGGACCTTCGTTGAAGTACAAGAACGTATTCTTTTAGTGTATTTACTGCAATTTATAGCTAACACATTGTTGATAGAAGTACTGATCTTCAAATTTGTCCCATGTTAGGTAAATAGTTTAATTCTCTTCAGTTGTAATTGTTGAAATACTTTTTTCTTCTGAATTTTTGTAGTCTTTTGAAACAGTAATTTGAATATGTAGCCTTCTGAGTGTGCAGTTGTTTTAATATATAGCTTGACATGTAGCTTTGCATCAGAGATCTGTAGCTGTATTATAGCGAAAAATTATCTTTGTGTGCTATTTGTAATATTTGCATCTAGTGTGTTGGATTATAGTTTTGCAGAAAGACTTTCATTATGCTTTGTAACCACCTGCAAAAATAAAAAAGCAGTGAGATAGGCCCCGATTCTTCTAAGAGGTGGAAGTCTTTCGGGGAAGCGAAAAATAAGGTAGGGTGTACATTTAAAATGTGGTTTTAGTTGCTCTGTGCTTGCTCTGTGTCTGGATGTGTTTAGTCCTTACTAAGTGTACCTATTTCAGTTGAGCTTAATTATGGAAGTGATTTCAGGCTGAACTAAGAAGATATTTCTAGTTACAAAATGTTCATATAACTATTCTGTGCTGTTGTTTCTTTCTGTACCTGAGCCCTAAATTAGGACTGTGAGCAGTCAGTGGGAATATTCTCTGCATCAGACCCTAAATTCATTTCTAAAATGATCACCTTCCCTAGTTACTCACCCTTTTAAAGGCCTTTAAGTGGCAAAGCATTTGGTTTTTAGAAGTATGTCACTTTGTATATCTTTGAGTGATTTTATTAGTGTTTATGAGTGCTTAAATGCTGATGGTAGTTTAAGAAAGCACATACTTTAAAGTAACACTTGTTTTCTTCTTTTCAGTTATAGAGAGATCTTTTTCACTGCACAGAACACACTCTCTAAAGGATATGGAGAATATTTTTCAACTGGTGCGCAATGTTATCCCTCCTCTAACAGGGAAAAGGCATAAAGGTCAAGATGGACGTATAGGCATTGTTGGAGGATGTCAAGAGTAAGTTAAACAGAAATTTTATTTTTGTTTCTAAGAGAGTTTGAGGATGTTATAAGTACCTGTAGAAGCCATTCAAGCTCACCTTGCATTTAAAACATGAGTATCTTCCACAGAGCTTTTACTAGTCCATCATCATGACCATACATACTTGTGAAAGAACGTGTGTCCCTGCAGTTGTGTATTTTGGTAGTGAATGTGGTTGAAACTTAGAATGCTATTTGTGTCTGTGTCTACCTTCTCTGTCTTTTTTGACCACCAGACTCTTTCTGCTTTCAGTGTTAGTCTTTTCCCATTGCATGATGAAGTTATAGCATAAGTAGAATAGAATAAGACAGTGGCACATTTGATAATTTTTTTTTTTTTTTTTTTTTTTTTAATATTTTGGTATCTTGGGAACTGGGTTCTCTTAAATGAGGAACAGAATATTTTCTTATTGCGTGCTTTTTATTTTGATAAATTGTGGTGTTTACTAGATTCTGTCAATACCTTGTTTTAAGTTCCGGAATAATAGAAATAGCATGTTTCAGGGAAAAAAGAGATACAGCATAAATCAGTTAAATGCTGTACTGACCTAGAAATAAAACAGGCTCTATTCTTTTTGTGGCCACATTCAGTAATCTGCACAATACTTTGAGTGAGCCACTACACCCTCCTGTTTTTCATTTTCCCCTTTTGAAATAGAGATGGCCTCTTTCTCCTGTAAAAGAGATCTGCTGTGGGACATCTGCCATTAATAAACATTCTATAAAGACCAAAAAGGTGCTGTCTTATAGCTGGGTTGATTAGCCAGGAGTTAGTTTTCCTGTTGGTCAAATGGGCTTAGGTTCTTACCTCTTGGCAGAAGTAGGCACCCTCTGGAGGGTGATGCTGTCCATATCCCTCTCTTCAGTCTTCATAAAGAGAATTTAGGGCAACTGGAATCACAGTTTAGGCACTTCAGTTAAGCATCTAAACCCAGATGGGATTTATCCAGGTCACAGATCCCAGACTTGGCTTACAAACAGTGCTCCACTCTTGTTTTGTTTTGTTTGTCTCTAAACTTTTAAGTTGGTTGTCTGAGAAGAGTTTGCTTTTTTGTGGCATGATCTTTATAAATATTTCTGTGAAAGGATCAGGTGGCTAAGGTGAAATCCTGCACCTTTGAAATCAAAGCGAGGTTTGAGACTGGCTTCAGCAAGATTTTATCTGTCTTTTACAGCAAACAAGAGAGAAAGCTTTTTTTAAAATTTGCTCTTCAATTTGGGACTTCATTATGGCAGGCTGATTTCCAGATTGTCTAATCTCATGACTGTGTTTCCTAACCTAAATTGTATTTCATTCTAGATACACTGGAGCACCGTATTTTGCTGCAATTACAGCTCTCAAAGTGGTATGTGTTCTTCTATACCAATCCAAAGTGAACTTTTCATTGTTTATATTGGCTAAGCACCATTTTTTAAAAGCATTTGTTCTGTGCTGCACATGAAATTTGAGTTCTAAAAGGTCTTCTGTTTAACAAAGAAAATCCTTAGTCCTGAATTTGTAGAAATACTTTTTAAATATGTCATTTGCTGTGTTTTCTGTAAGTATTTTTTCTGTATAAGGCAAAGTTAGATGTGCATTAAAAATTTGAAAATTTCAGGAGAACTGTTTTTTCAGAGACTTGGATAGGAACTTTCGAAACTTGATGAAATGTTTTCTCCAAAAGTGAACAATAAAATAACTTTAGACTAATGTTTAAAGTTATGTTTTCAGTGTTGCAGTCAGCTCTTCAGAATTTTTTTTTTGGACCTGATAAGTGTGTTGAAACTTTTTTTCAAAACTTATAGCTTTATCTTAGTAAAATTCATATGTGATGTAAGTCTAAAGATTGTTGGTTGAATTTAATGTAATTTTTAATAGCACATTTTATTTACATTGTAATCTTTAGCAGAAGTATTTTCTAAGCTTTTTTTCCTAGAAGTGTGAACTTCTTTATTTTAGTGACATATTAACTGGCTAAAAATATATTTACTGCAGATGACATGAATACAGTGGTGATTATGCAAATGTAAAGAAAACATGCTTACATAATACATATACTTTTCAGTACTTTATATATAAAGTGTCAGTACTTTCAGTTCATTGCATATATTTTTCTTTTTGAAGTTTTGTTTCAATAAGTAGGTAACCAATCCAGATATTTCCACCACCACCACCCTGCTCCGTGGATGCAGTCCCTCAAGGATTTGAAATGGAAATTGTATTATTTAATGATCTTATATAAGATATTAAGGCCACTCAGCTTTCTGTTCACTATGTGCAAATACAGTAGCATACTAGGAGGTCCCCTGTTGAAGTCACTTGGTCTCAGATCATTACATCTGCACATAAAGAGCCATAGGATCAAATCTCTGCATTGCTTAGTAGCTTGAAATCTCAAATGTATAGAGGTGAAGCAGAGGAGACACTTTCTTAACCTTGGGAAATTTCAATATGCAAGACAGATACAAGATGAGGCTTTCTGGTCACTGCTTACATAATTTTTATGTGTACGTCTGATTTTCTGAGTTGATAACAGAAGCTTGAGGCTAAACTCCACAGCTTCAGTGTTTGTTTAATGTAAGGGGTGTTGGTAAAATGGTCAGTTTTTATCTGGTATGGATTTGGCCCATCGAGTAAAAATGGTAGGACTGGAAATGTAGTCATAGACTGCCATAGCTATATTTTGCAAGTGTATTACAGTATTATTTTTCCTCTCTAATGTAGCTTGTCTCTTGTTCAGCTGTGTTCTTTTGCCTTTCTTCTTACTGTACGTATGACATTTTAGTCTTTGCTCGTCTGCAAATGAGAAACATTTCTCAAGTGAGTAGAGGTTCAAGATCTGTGTTTTCGGTCATCCTATTGGTGAGAAACAGAAAAGCATTATATTGGAAGTTAGATACAAAAAAATTTCTCCAAAACATTGCATGGTAGTCTAAGCCAAAACAGAAGAATAATAAAGTTTGCTTTAACTACTGAGAAGTAGGAATTCAGGTGAATTATTCACTGAGTAAACTTTGGAATGCTAAAGTTATTATTAAGTATAAATTTGATAATTCTGTTTGCAAATTTTCTTTTTTAGGGTGCAGATTTATCCCATGTGTTTTGTACCAAAGATGCAGCAACAGTAATCAAATCATATAGTCCAGAGCTGATTGTTCATCCAGTTCTGTAAGTGACTTATCTTTTGTTTAAATGAGCAAGTCAGGATTACTAGTTTTGAACATTTCAGTGACAGTTGATTAGTTTGCGTCATTTCTTTTTCTGAGTTACAGGATGGGTGAGCTGGGGATTACAAAAACTCCTGGGTTTTTCCTTTCATTACAAACAGTTAGATATTTAATACAGAACAATCAGTTGTGAATTTTTTTCATTACTATCAAAATACAATTTTTTAAAAAGCAAAGATCTTGCTTTCTGCTACTTGCTGACGTGTGTTCTGTGATTGCAATGCATTTAACTGTGAACAGTAGCAAAATCCAGAACTAAGAATCCCTATAAGTCAGCGTTATAGAATCTGCATTTGAAAGGCAAATAGAGTATGTTCTCTTGCTTCTTCAGTCCTAATAGTGTCTAATGCTAACGTACCTTTTTTCCTCTCACTACTGTGTATATAGTTATTCATGCAAAATTACTGGGCAAGAGAGATGCTGACTCTCATTTTTCTTCATAAGTGTGTTGCATTAGATACACACCTGGGAATAAATGGATGTTCTAAAATGATCTAAAATACAGGGTTTATTAACAAGAAGATGAGAAGTTTAATAAGCAACTATCCTAATTGAGAAAATCGGTGTGTGCTTCCCTGCGTTTGTATTCTGAAATATGTTACTGATTGGTGAACTTTTAGAGGATAAATTGTTTCAATTCGGTGTTACGATGGTTTACAATGAGCACTGCGAATGAGAATTAAGATGTGTGCCTTAGGTATATGTCACTGAGCTTAGCTTGCACCAGTGCATGTCAAAGTCTGTTGGTGTACATAGCAAAGCTGTGATTAAGCTGGAAAAAGCATAATTTAAAATGGTGTTTGTCAGATACTGCTGTCAGGAAGGATTTATGACAGTAGAAATATTTCAGTGTCTGAGAAGAAGAATATGATCTCCCTTATGGGGATGCCAGCGGTTGGAAGCCATAAGTTTATTACATTCTAAAGGTGGGTTACATTCCTGTTGGTGTAGAGAGGTGCTTAGAAAGAAGTCAGTTAAACAGACAGATATCAAAGGTTGTGTTTTGTTGTTGTTTTTTTTCCAAAGATAGAAGAAACCCATGACTTTGTGGATTTTAGATAGGGAAAAATGATGCTTGAAAGCAAGGGGAAGATGCAAGGGTAGGGTTTTTACTAGTCCAACTGCATTAGCTCTAAAATCCATAAGGCACATCTTCAGTTGATGTTCTGTCTGATATCATGTGATAACAAATGAGATGGAGAACCTTAATGGCAGTATTAGCTTGTAACTTAGGTTGTCTTGATGCATGACACTCAGGATACAGCATCTGGTTGTCTTGTATGGGAAGGAGTTGACCTTGCCTTGGGAGAAGCATTTTTTGTATACACAGGGTTCTTGATGTCTGTGGTAATGGAAAAGGTTGATAGGAGAAACAGAAGCAGCATAGAGAAAAAGGGAGGTGACAATGTATAAACAGTAAAATTACTGTTCATGGAGGACCAGACTGTGCCTACTAAATAAGGTTGGGTTTTTTTAATACACAGATTCTCAGTGTCTTCTGTGGAATTCAGATCTCAATGAAAACTCTGATCTTTCTAGTCACAAAGAGAACTTTTGATTTTAAAATTCAGCTCTGTCTGTAAATTCCTCCAGATGTGCAAAGTATAGTGAATCTAGAAATTTTCATATCCATATAGCTTTAAGTCTGAAACTCAATGTTTAATACTTTTATTACAACTCTGATTAATTTCACCCAGACAGCTGGCTAATTGCGTGAAGCAATGGATCTGTAAATATTGTTTATATGACATTCAAAATGAAAAAATGCAAATACCAGAATGTTCAGATTTTGTTTGTTAAATTTTCTCATATTTTTATCTCTTCTGCTTCATTTGAGGAAAAGAGAAAACAGTCTTTTCTGGTTAGAAAGGAAAAAATCTTGACTGACTCTATTGAGCCCAAGTTTTATTCAAATTTACACAAACAGCCTATTTTTCTCGTAAGGTCCTTTGTCTTCAGTGTCACACTTTTCATATGATCTTTTATATGTTGTGGAGCTGTTGGAGTTCTGCAGGCACGGCCGGCCGCTCTTGATTCAGAGCCTGATCTCTTAAACAGTCTTTGTACTTTCTCCCAGGCTGTGCTTCACGCATGGAAGAACCTCCGGGTAAAACCCACCGAGCAGCTACGTCATTGTTTTCTTTTGTGTCTCTCTTAAAACTTTGCTTTGTTATGATTTCTCCATGACCCTTCAGAGTAACTAGGTAGCTGTTGCACCACTCTCTTATTATGCTAATCATAATTATGGCCCCGTGTACTCCTCAATTCACTGTTTGAACAGCTTGGCATTTCGCCAGGGTTCAGCTGCCATTTTGTACTGCCAGGAGTCTGACATTTTATCATCTCCCCTGTGACTTGGCTGCTGCTACCTTTTACTACTGTCCTCACCTCACAGGGGATCACCTCAAGGGAAGAACATGCTCTCTTTTTGCTGCTGCCCCCTGAATGCGAGGGCTCTTTTGGCTCGTTAGAGCTGCTGTCGTGGATCTTTGATGGCATGACTAGCGAAGGTATGCAAGAGCTAGAAGTTGCACTGTTGCGTTTCAGGTCCTTGGCAAATGTCTGTCACTTCAAGGACGCGAGGAATGTTATGTGAGAAAGATTGAGTAGGATTGCAGGAGGGTTATGAAAACGGGCATCCATCTTGCAGCATTGCCAGGGCAATTCCATGTGGCCCCAGCCGCAGACCATCCTGGGATTCCTTTGGGTGTAACATCGCATGCTGGGGACACCCATAACGCAACTTTCTCTGTGGTTTTTGTCTTGTGACTTCATTCCCTGTTCCTGTGAGTGAAGGTAAGAGAGCTGGGACTGCACATGGCAGCCTGAGATCTGGAAAGATGAAGCGTCAACACCTGGCTCTGTGATCCTCACCACCTGAGCTGAATAACAATAGCTGGGGGTCTAGTGGCCATGAATAGTCAATATTATCAATAGTAGCTTTTTGGTTTTATTCAGGGTTTCTGTCAAATGCATTATGGCCCCTTCCACAATGACTTGGTATTAAAGTATTAATTAAAAACTAACTAGCTAACCAGTTCAGTATTTTTGCTGACTGACTTTTTGCTTTCCTGTGGAGAAGTGAAAAGTGTGTATTGCAGAAGTCAGGGTCTTCTGAATAGTGGTGTATACCGAGTCTTGGTCACAGCTGCCTTGCTCTTGTCACCACTGCCCCTGGTTTGTGCTACATTTTTCTGTATTCTCAGCTAACATGCCTCTACTCTAAACTCTACACAGATACAGTCAAGATAAAACTTAGCTTTTGCATTTTATTAAGTTTTATTGCAGGTGTTTTTTGTGTGGATTTCTGCTGTAGATGTGTACATACTTTCTTGCATTAGTGTTGGGAACTTTCTAGGGAACAGTTTTCATGGGCTTTTTTTTTTGTGTATTGCCCATGTTAATTCCCTGGCTCAAGTCAAGTTGAATAGACTTCTTGGATACCTGTGCTGGGTTAGCTTATCCTGTCTTGATAAGTGAGTGATCACACAATTAAATGAGCTGTATGAACCCAGCTGGTTATATTTTAAAAGAAGAGAGAATGAATCTATTGTGTTAGATTCTCTTCTTGCAAGGACTTTTTCATAGTCTTACAGGTTTTTTTTCTCTGTAGGCCAGGAAAGATTGAGAGACTGCTGGGTAGTCCACTTGTAACCTGGTTGTCAGACGATTTGTAAAGTCAACAGTTGATACACTCCTTGATCTTCAGAGTTTTGTCGGAGAAGTAGAATGAGATGTCAGGTCATTAATTTCTTGTGGTCCTGAAGAAGTTGCATGATTTTTCCATTATCTCTGAAAATGTCACCCTTGAACTAGGTATGGATTTAGAACTAATACCTTCCAGCTGGTTGTATCTATGGGTCTATATGGACTAGGAAAGATTGCCAGAATTACTGAAAGTCTTATAGTTAATTGCAGAGTTCAAGTTTTGGTTTGGATTTTGAAAAAGATTATTCTTTTCAGTTTGAAATAAAAATAACTGGGGAGAAAACTCTCATGAGGTTGGCCTGTGTGTTGAGGCCAGTTACCATTAATGAAGAAGCTTAGCTTAGATCAGGGTTGCCAGGACATATTTTGCCTAGTTTTATTGGATTTTGTCTATGTTTTGATGATTTGAAAAAATCATGAAAGTGAATCATGGATAGCAAACTCCTGATAAGTTGAGTACTTTTAACCAGTGCCAAGTCTCTTAAAGAAAGCCCAGGAACAATCTTAAGATTTTTGGCCCTTTCTAATTCTGTATGTGGAGAGGAGATTCAAAAACATTGGTCCTTTGTGGGAGGAAGCTCATACCTTTCAGTTGTGTTAGCTAAGGATAGCTGTTAAACACATCTTCTGTGTAACGTGGGACTAACCTCTCTTTTGAATCAGCTGCTGGAAGAAGTGCAAGAATTCTTGTCTCCAGGGAAAGTCAAGGAGAAAGCACAGATTGCTCCGATTACCAAAAAGATGCCTCCCAAGTGACTTGGCTATTGGATCCCTATTATACCTGCAGAGAAGATGCAGGCATAAACTTTGTGATCTTTCTGCCAAACCTCATTTAGACAGCAGACTAGCTAGGAATCACATGAGAAAGTTTTTGTGGTTTTTTTCCTAAGTACTTAGCGAGAGATAAAGGTCAGTTTGTATGTGCTGACTCAGAGAAGTTTACTTAAACTGTTTCTAATCCTATCGTGCAGTGCCATGGACAAAACTTGTTTACGGACCTGCCTCCTGTGTCCAGCTTTCTCAGCAAAAAGCTGCTGCTTCTTTCCTGTATGCTGCAGAGTGAATAAAAGATGGGAAGTGTATTCACCCCATGCTATAGTCCCTTTCCTCCCCGTTGTTGCAGAGGTCCTTATCCCAGGTGATACTAACAGAGGTTTTGCCACCTCCTCAAAATGTGAGAAGTAGCCAGATTTTTAGCATCACTGTGGGGAGTGCCAGCTGTTCTTGCTGCTT